TTTAGCGTTTCAATTCACAATTATTCTGGATAACTGTTTCATTTTAGTTTTAGGTCTCTACGACTCACACACATTCATATGACCATGCATCAGACTGTACTTCAGGAATCTTCAAGTCTCACGTCCATACTGGTCGTGTTCAGACGTTGAGATGATCACATAAACGCTAACTTCAAATTAAAATGTAGTACCATACTAGGTTTCTAATAATTTCCTGCAATGAAGACCCATTCATAACCACTAATACATTCAGTTCATAGTTTTATTTTGTGAAAGCGTGACATAGTTTTTGTCGATTTATTGTAATAACGAAATAACTGGTACTTGTTATAACTGAACGAATCTTGATAAAGCTTAACTAAAGGAGAAAGGTAAGAATTCAAGTGTAGATTTATTTATACATCAACAATATTTTCACAACTGGTCCAACCAATGATTAGAAGTACACTGAGTTAGATATCACTTACTTATCTGGTCAACTGACAAATTTGAAAGTATTGAGGAGCAATAAATATCAATAATGTAATAGCGTGTATACGATTTCCAATGCCCATAGATTAAACTGCTTTACTCAATAAACAGTACTCTCAGAAATTAATATTCAGGTTCTTACTATTATTTAAGTTTTGAATAGTTCAGATCGAAAAATTCATTAACTTTAATGAATCATCAAAAACATCATTGAAATATACCTGAAAATTTCGTATTTTTGTACAGAACCCTTTTCTTAAAAACTTGAATAGTAACCTTCCACAACTTGGTGTTATTTATTGTGATCCATTGTTGTTGCTAAGCAAATCAAGCCCGAAACTACATACATATGCTTGATTATTTCAATCACAGTTGTGCTTCTTGGACGTATAATCCCAGCTATCATTTCTCACACAACCTATTGAACCTTTAAAAAAGTCGAAAATCGAACATGGTTAATAGATAGAATTGACCTATAATAACATTTACAAAATGATCAATGCTTTACCGACATAAACAAAATGGTACTCATCGTCTAACTACATCCTACATCTTTTATTCTCACTGCATCGTTAAATTAAGTATTATTGAACACTTAATTGGTTAGTCTTATCCTAACTATTGTTGTTCCACTAGTTATTAGTCATCTTTGTAGTAATTCTAGTTTTTGGAATGTTTAGTCTATTATGTTTGGAAAAAAGTTATAGAAAGATTATTACGTTATTAATATTACTGTTGTAATGCCACTATATATATATATATATATATATATATATATATATATATATATATATCTTCAACAGTTTTGTTTTATTTAAATCGTATGTGGGAAAATCAGTTACGTAAAGTCTCGTACGGTTACACTGTTTATTTGGTGGGTTAACATTGATTGCACGGCTACTTTTTATTTTTTTTGAGTGAAATTTTTTTTTCATCCCCATCTTCCAATAATTTTCATTCTGTTTTAGTCCAATCAAATAGCTAGTTTTAGGTTCGTTATAATTGGTCGTTTATTTCTTTAAATTGATACAAAAGTCAGGACTTAACGACAGATCACATTTTCTTCCAATTATGGGCGGTAATAACGTGCAAAGCACAAGCTCTGTCATTTGTCACGTTCTCACAGAAACCGATACCTATTCTTGAGCACATTGTATCTTGTAGCGTGATGAATATGTTATGTAAATCAACACGTGAAAATTTTAAAAATCTAGCCTATGTATATAATGAAAGATGGATAGTGGCTAGCAGTGGAATCCAGGACGCGCGTTTCGTCAGGACTCAGTAGCTAAGTGGATAATGCGATGGCGTTTGAAGCGAATGATACTGGGTTCGAGTCCCAGAGTGAACATCAACTCTCTGAGATGCAGGTACATCCAACTGACGAGTGCCACCAAATAGGAGGAAACGCGCGTCAAACTGCATTCCACTGCTAGCCACTATCCATCATTGCTTACAAATAGCTTGTGAATTAAGGTAATATCGAGGCATACGCACAGTATGCACATATGCCAATAACAGACTGATCAATTGCAGTCCTAAAACATCAATGGGAAGATTCAAGTAAAACAATATCAAGTGAATTATGTATATAATGTCTGTTGAGAGGAAAGAGACAAGGAAAACAACACATAGATAAGACGTTTATGTTATCACATGATAATTGTCAAACGATTAAACGTATCTGTTTTTTCAAATTTTAACTGTCCCTAAGATATATTCAAGTGCTGACGGTTAGCTATATTTTTAAAATGTTCATATGTGTCAATATGTATGAAACTCACTCAATATGATCATTAAGTATTGTTCATAATAAATAATTAAACAGTTGAACGATTAAATCATAGTTCAGACATCTACTAATCAGATCCAGTTTGACCTTGGTGAGGTGATGTGAATGAAGAAATAAAAAAGACATGACGAACAACAGAAGCTATTTTGGGGGAAATCATTTCACTTAATTCAAAGTTTGTAAAATACCTACATTTAGTTTTGTTCCTAGGTTATTCTATAAGCCATAAGCTTTCATTTGATGCATGATTCACAGACGTAACCTTTTCTATTCCGAAGCTATTGTAATCTAAACGTAACCTTTTGTATTCCATTTTCCTACCCCAATATTTAGTTTAGACATAATTGTATTTTTCTAATTGTTCGTACCTTGTGGTCGTGTTACTCATATATTGATTCAGATATCTTTTCACATTAATCTGAATCAGGAATAAATCAAGTAGTGTTCCAGTTGACTCGTCTACTCTCTCGCACGCGCTCTTGTTGACCAGTCAGGTGATAGGGTAGTTTTCGTCTCTCTGCTCAAAGTTGTTAGTCCCGATTTGGACCCACGCATTTCTAGCTTCAAGGTTGAAACGATTAGTCTATCGTATCAAGGCCTTAACGTAAGTCGAGGCGAGTTCTCTCCTGTATATTATTGGGTTGACAGATAAAGGACGTAACTTGAGGCCTATCCTTATGTGATTGCCAATCAAAACTCACTGTAATATTTTCACAAACATATTTTATGGTCTCACCACTGTTCTCTATCTACTCGTGTCTTCATTTCTTCCTGAGCGACACTACTTATTTTTCATTCCCGTACTATTTACAATAATTTATACTCTAGAAATTGATTAAGAGTAGACCTAAAGTACATTGACGACACAATTAGGAACGACAGGGCCACTTCAAGGTCACTATATGTATACCAATCTAACCTGACGTTCATTGAACTATATCAAATCATGATGTTGACTACCGACAGTAATATGATTAATATTAACGAGTAAGTCAGCATTAGATACTGAAGGTTATGATTAAAACTAGGTTATAAGCTTAGAATTCGGGGTTTCGGATTCAGGATTAGAGTTGGGACTTGGAGTTATGGTCTAACCCTGATACCGGATCCTAACCCTAAACTCTAATAAATAAGATCCTGCTAACAGCTCTAAAAAGTCCACTCATTAAGTGAAAACAATTTACTCTAGATAAATTCTTCCATTTTATATTATAATTCACTTATTCATATCTGCTATCTGGGTAAAATTTTCAAGGTCACTTGGTAGTATACTTTGTTAGCAAGACCACGGGAAGTGTATGAGCGTGATTTCTGTAGGCAACATAAATTTTACACGTGCAATTGCACTATTTAGTGACATTACATTTCATGGCCAATATATGCGTTCATTTAATGAGTTCTCATTCAGTTACTTGTTTCGTTTATGAGCTACTTTTTGACACAAGAAATTCTCGAAAAATTAATATTTCGTGTAACTAATCATTTAAACAAAGGTTTTCCTAATTGTTTCAATTTGCTTTAATTTTTTAAATTTAAATGTGTCCATCAAATCGAACTTGATTTCCTCTGTTTTCCTATCAGAAGCAAGATGGCTGCCGCCTTTTAGTTTACTCATCTTTTAAACATGTTCCATTATAAATCGTTTTCAGTTGAGAAACTATAGAAAATAAAGGAGTACTTGACGGATGTTTCGGCTTGAATTAGATCTCCTCAGTAGTTCGTCAGCAACCTCACACAGACCATTGAACTTTAAACCAAGGGTTAAACGATGATCATATATTCGATAGTGACTAGATTTAGGAAATTATTAACTTCCAAGTTCAATGTAATAATATCAAACAAACTGTCCTTTATATAGAACTGAAGTTTAATTTATTGAATCGGACCATGTTTTCTGGCATTAACTATCAGTTATTCAGACTGAGCTCAGTGGTTGTCGACTACTCGTTAACGATTTTTAAAGGATGGGAACGAAGCGTGAGTCTTATTCTTGATACTGACATTTGGATCCAGAAACATTCATCGGGTGCGCCTCAAACAGAATGGTATAAATACTCCCGATTTTGTCATCACTGAGTAAACACTAGTCTAACACTACGAAAAAATTCAGAGATATTTCCAGATGTCATATCTCAATTGCTATGTTCGTGATGCCTCTGTTGTGTGTGGTTCTACTCCTTATACTTGGAAACATGAACCACTGTAATTCACATAGCCCAAAGTAATAGCAGAGATGACTGTTCCAATGAAGGCTTATTGACTTTCCAAAAACACGTCTCCCGAAATCGCATCCCGATTAAACTAAATATGTTCAACTATTTAGTGATTTTAAACACACAATGATTAGTTAATGAACACTATGCCAATGAAAACATTCACAGTACTACTTTAAAACATATATGAAGTAATTTCATTCCGCTGTGCTGACAGTGTACCAACTTGAGCAAATACACATTTACGCCAGGTTCTACGCTGCCTATGACTAACTGACTGACTCGTAAAACGCTGTCACAGTACACTCGTGGTAATCACGGTATAGGTGTGCTTAATCTTTATCCTATTAGACGCGGAACACATCAAATGTAAATTATTCCATTTCCGAAACTTTGGATTTTTGAAATACATTATTTTTATCAGAAAATGAACGTATAAGACCATCGTGAAAGTATTTGTCGTATATTCAACAAAATTTAATGTTTATATTGCCACAAAATTAGTAAAAAAACAACCATTGTTTGCTGACGCAATACGTATATTGAAAAAATTAAGGTACACAAGACAACAAAAAATGAAACGATTATCACAGACAATTGGACAACAGAGAAGATGTGCATTTAATCCGAACAACAATAATAATTAGTACTACTAATATTTATTGTAATAATCCGTAAAGGATGTTACTTCTTGAATTTCCATATAAACGACGGGTTGGTTCCACAGAATTTGATGATTTTGCAATGCCGACACTTTTTGTCACTGAACAAACTTCTTGCAAAAACGTCCTTGAGTTATGAACACATGTACCACCTAAAACAATATCGACACCCAGTGTGGAACAATTTATTTTATGCAAACTACAAACTTCTTGATAAGTAACACCACCAATGAAAAATACAATAATTTCTTTTGGACGTTGACCACTAGGTATAGTTTTCCAAGAAGTACCAGTAGCTAAACTTGGAAATGAAGCATCAGGCAACTGACCTTTAATTAATTTATTCAAAATTTCAACTAACAATGGTTCATGTTGTGTATAAACATTATTGACACCTTTTAGTTCTTGAACTAAACGTTTTTTTAATGAAGCCATTGCTTTTGTGGCTGTTTGACCATCAACAAGTGGTGTTGTTGTTGTGTTGACACTTCCAGTCTTCATGACATGAAATAAGTCGAAACCATCGGAAACTGAGACCGGCCAAGAATATTCTAATAAGTTGTCAATAGTTCGAATATCACCATCTGTCGCGCCACGTGTAACAAGTGATTGAATTAATCCAGCTAATTCTTGTTTTTGCTTGCTATAACGTAAAGCATAAAGAAGAACTAATCTTAAGGCATCTGAGAGAAGAATCCTTGGGTCGCTAATTAAACTTTTAATACGTGATAAGATTGAAGAATGATTATCACGACATACCAGTTCTTGTTCTACTTCACTTATTTCTAGCAAAGCATGTTCTTTAACAATCCTAGACAATTCTGACATTAATGTAACATGTGTATCGACAGTACCGGATGTTTTACGAAAAGCAGGAAAATTCTCTAAAAATCGTTTTAAATCACCAATTGATTCTAAATTTTTGGTATCCACAGATTTAGAAGCTTTTTGAAAGTTTTCTATAAGTTGTTTAATTGATTGACCAATATCACCAAAATTGGAAAATTGATTAGTTCGATAGAATTCATCAAATTCACGACTTAAAATAATCTCTTTTAATTCCGATTTGACATTTGGCGCTCTAGATAAACTAACACGATTTTGTGTAATACCAATCAACTCATGAACCATAGCTTCATATGTCCATTGTGATAGTAACGGTGTAACTGTGTCTTGTCTTCTATCCAATATAAGCAGGACAGGAACAGGTTCTGATTGCTTAAAGTCAAATATTACAGTTTCTCGTGATATAAATGACCGTATCGACTCAGCTAGTTGACGTGCAACCTCTGAAGCATTCTGGTAGCGTATAATTGGACATTTTTTTAAGGCTAATAATACGGATGTTAGACCATCGGTTGATCGATTCAACACACCGTCTCTCAAATTTCTACTTTCATTTAGACTAATTGGTATGTCCAGTTCAAATAAAAATGGTGATAATGGGATGAAATCAGCAAAGTACTCCTGGACTTCTACCACTAATTCATTTTCATCAGCTTCTGCTAATTGTTTCAGTAACTGTTTAGTTATAGAATGACTGAAAAATAAATGGTAAGATAAGTAATTTGGTCTCCTTAATTCTTTAAATAAGAAATTAATATTTTCTTTTGTTGGTCTTAAGAAACAAATACAACGTAAGTGTTCCAAAGATTCACGCGGTGCATCAATACGTTCAATTAAATAGACATCATATTTCATAATTTCAGACATTGAACAAACTACACTAACTATTTTCAATGTTTCTTGATCAACCATTAATACTTTCATACCACCATCAGCTACTGAAATCATTCTGTTAAGATAATTTTTCACAGCCCGACAAATATCCATTTTCCTCAACACAAATATCACTTTTCTAATTATAAGATATAGAACCTGAAAAAAGGGAGGAGAGTTAAATTTAATTCGACTGTTACTTAAAATACAAGAAATCAAATAAATTATGTATTGATACAAATAACTTTTGCAGATTAATGAGTTAGTCGCTAAGGAATTACTAGCATAGAGCACGCAATACTGCAACATACTATGTAACTGTTTATTGTCAGTGATTATGACATTCATCTCCGTCCACCGAGTCTTTCGACTAGTTAGACTCAAGACAAAGGAAATGTACCAACTATTAGGGTGGTTGCAAATAGGACATATGGAATTGTAACGAACTGACCCATAGTAACGAAAAGATAGGACGGATATACCTGATAAATGGAATGTAACGAAATACTTGCACAATATGCTAGTATAAAGCTGTTGTAATCAAATTATGAAATTTCTGAGAAATAACAACTGGTACACCTAGAAAGCAAGATTATACAGATATTTATAAAGCCGGACAGTGACTTTGAAAGTAATGCTTCCTAAAACTGTAGCGTCCGTAAAGTATCAACTTGCTAGATTAAAGGGATATGGTACAAAGTGTCAAGAACAGTGAAGAAGAAACATAATTAGACAGCCTGGGAACAAATACCCCCCCCCCAAAAAAATATTCGCCTGTCAACAACAGTCGAATAAAATTTACATAGCATTCAGAAATCATGCAAGATTTTTTCTATAATGTCAAATTTACTATTTTGCACACAACGGCATTTTTCAAGTCACAATGTTTACCTGTTTAGTAGAATTAAAGTTCCACTATATGTGCGTCATGCCGTTCCATTCTACTTTGTAATTTGGCTTATAAAAAATTGGATTTTGCAAGCGAACCTTGAATGAACACTAGAAATACTGTAGATTACACTGAAATTGTTGTGGACGAACCATACAGAGATAATCAACGCCACATCTGAGGAACGCGGTCTTTCCACTGTCCAATATCCTTGTGACTAGCTCGTATAAACCGACCGATTTCTTTGCTTTCGCCTCATGTTGTTTCAGTATCCTTTCAAATCCTTAAAAACGTCAAGCAGATGGATTTCTAGCCACTCCATTCCACCAGTTTTCTTCATTTCTGTAGTTATTTGTGATTTTGAATGCCTAGCGGTAAATACATACCAAAACCAGATAGCTCGGTATGTCTTTGACATTGATGTTGGCTTCACCGGTTTTACGGGAATTACTTAGCCGAAGGCGCTTGATGATGCACCCACATCAGGTCACGAGTGGATACGCCGTGCTGCGCATCCATTGTAACTAATAGCGAGCTTAGACCAGTAGTGACTCACATTTATCATGAGAACACGACTGGTTTAATAAAAACAATTATTATTATAGCCAACCGTACCAGTGTTTGTTTTAATGTGCTTCTGTTTGACTGTGCTAATGACAGCTATTTTGTGCTTCCATTCTTATACTTGCACTTTTGATTGTGACTTCGCGCGAATTCGGTTACGTTCTGTAACCAAGCTTGTATCCTGGCACGATCTCGGTATCCTTTCGATGCCACGAGATCGCCAGCAAATATAACTCGACTTGGTCCATTACTTGCCTTCTGGTATTTGGCTTCTCGGGGATTTTATGGGTTTCTTTGGTTACGTTCAACCTACGCCTTCTGATTTATTTGGCACGTGTTTCTTGGTAGCGGTGTTCATAGTTAATCCCAACTCGACACCGCGCTACAGACCAAACGCTTCTCGACATACCGATAGCATTCAAATATATTTTCGAACTTCTTCATTTCTGATTTTACTGGGTTGGCGTACTTTGGTTATGAAGGTGTTACGTGCAAAGGTGTTGTTATGTACCAAATACCCGTGACATCTTCGGTGGTGAGACCGACATTATGTGATGCATCAAGCAGTAAACTGTGAGTCTGCTCCTTGTTAGAATATTGCACATCATTTTTAACTTTTATTCTTACATATTGTGATGTGTTTTTTTCATTTTTTGAATATTTTTTCCGCCCGCCGTGACGGAAAAGACTCCTAAGCTGCGTATGGCTAAACCTCTTTCGTCTCCCTTATTTCAACTAATGCTATTTTGACTGGGTAATATAGAAGCTTGGTTCTGTTACGCAGAAGCCGACTTTCGCCTGCACGGCATGACAGATCCGTATACATAATTCCTTGATGTAGTGAAGGCACTACCACCAGATTTCATCAAGTACGTCCCACCTAGTATGCTTACTGGTGATGTTTTGCAGCATTACGAAACCTTAAAAAAGACTATTCTTAAACGTGAAGACCTGACAGACTGACAAACTTTAACCCAATTCTGCCACAATATCGAGCTCCAATATGGCTCAGCAAGAGAAATCTTGCTAAGAGTTCGAGAGTTCGTCCACATGATATACTTTGAGTTTATTAGGACACCGAACACTCGGCGTTTATCTCCCTTGCATTTGGTTCCTAATAAAGACAACAGGGATTATTGTCTAACTTGAGGTTGTCGACGACAAATACGGACTCTTTAAACTTTTGCACGTCTTTCGGCTTGGGAAATGCTGCACAAACTTTACAGGAGTTCATCAGCGACAATGTTAGAGGTTTCAACTTCTCACACACATATGTAGATGATTGCGAAACCGAACAGAGGATCTCATCTTCAACACCTGAAACTCGTTTTTGAACAACTCCAAAAGCACGGCATTACTGTAAACATTCAGAAATGTCAGGTTGCAGCCGGCTAGCTGGATTTCCCCGGACACACTAATGATCATCTGGTTGATCGATTTCCATGTCTGTAACTTTTAGTTTTAAGTGACAGCTGCAGATAACTACGCGTTCTTGATCCAACAACTTAAGAAGCTATATTGTTGTGTCTATTTATGAACATTACAGCCCTACTTTATTCCACGCTGAAAGATTTACTATTGACAGCAGAACAACAGAACTAAAACCAATAATAATAATAAGCTACAAAATCCGACTCACATAGATCAGAACTGCACTACGTCTACTTTAATGAGAGTAATGTAGTAAGTACAGCGAGGGTCGATTTGATGCACGCCATAAACTGGACGTTACTTTCAAGCTAACACCTTCATATCTATTATTCTAGGATTCACAAAGAGCTGGATGGATTATTTTTTTCTTGGAATTATGGAAAATAACTCAATATGAACCGTAAATTTCATACTCCATGATAACATTTCAGTTTAACATATTTATGATCATATTCTTATAACTACTTATTCATTTCAGCAATCCGATAGAATTGTATTCTATCACTTTTAAACCATATATAATGATATTTGACGAAGAAATACAATCAATGTTTGCGTTCTATTCTTTATATCGTGTTTGGATGCTATAATCCACGTACTTTAAGTATTTACTTGATCTATTCAGACCTCTCCCTGATATTAAAAAAATGTAAAGTCGTGTTTGATAAAGCACTATACTCGCTATTTGATGTATTATCTTTTGAACTGTATTTGGATATTATAACCATTGTTTCTGTACGGCAACAAACTATCAAAGTCTTCCACGTCAGGGTTGATCTGACACCCAACTAACTTTTCCAATTCAAACATTCTTCAACCAACCATACATGATTTCCCAAATCTCTGAGCGAGAATCTTATTCATAACTTTGATCTGCATTCAGAAGACTGGGACATTTAATGGCACTTGCTGCAGCTCCAGTACACTGACAATTTAAGTACATTGACTAAATCTCTACACTTAAATCTTCGCCAGAAAACGTTGAATCTAACTGTCGTACAAAGCAAGAATATTCCAAAGGATTCTCGTCTAAGCGATTAAGAATATACTCTTGGGGCCTGCAAGATGCTCTACCTTAGTTATCTACATCACCTAACTTGGTCATGGAGTCCCGAATTTTAAGTATGTTATCACAGGCATCAATGCAACCGTTGTCATTAACAGTACAACTCAGCTATACTTCCACGTCTCATCTCAGATACGGACATCATAAAGAAGAGCAATCAAAAACGATAACGATCAGTTCGTGAAGAATTTTGAAGGCCACAGTCAAATCAGTTCAAAATCAAGCGAAGAGTATATCCACTTACTATTCAATTCGAAAACCAGACCAAAATCAAATTCAGAAATGGTCAGCAACATAAACGAAGTGTTGACCTCATTATAGAGTGGTAGATGGTGTAATCAACTGTCTTCAACTGTCGAACCAGATCAAGTAAACGAATTACAGCACAGAAATCTGTTTATACATCAATTAAAGCACGTTCATTCTATGATACAACAATACTGTCACGATGCCAATTACAACTGCATAAACAACAATAATGTGAGTAAATATATTCACACTTCCGTTGGACATTGTCTCCGACTCTGGATTCCAACGCCGAACTACAGATCTCACACAACACAAGCATGAACGATTTCACAATTTGGTGACATGGGTCTCAGAACTGGATTGTCGGCACAACCAAACACGGTCAACGTTGCAACATCTCATCTACCTTGACAACATCCGTACACTATTTCTGAATATAGACCGAATGGTGGTCACTGGTGAAATGGTCAAACATAGAACGAGTTGCGGTAGCTCTTCATAAGGCTGTATATGCCTAATTGACATGTTTTTATTTGATAAATTGATCAAACCGACAGTCCTACGGAAGTCTATTCTCGGAGGAAGCTGGTGTAAAAATATAAGTCGGCTACGTAGAGGTCAACCGAAACCATCATGGCAACGTCAAAACGTTATAACTCAAGCATTTATTTACTCTCTTATTTTTGTGGGCATTATATTCGTTGCACCCAAATTCTTTCCTGTCGGTTGTTGAAGCACGGTTGATTGATCCACTCGTAAACTTCGACCCAAATAACGAGAAAGCCAAATCCCAGTTCAGGTGCCAAAGTCTATTCGTAAATACAAGTATTCAACTAAGACGTATGGTTATAATAGCTATAAGTTATACGGCAGTGATCTGAATAAGAACCTACTACAACCACCAGTCTGGTTTTTTCTACACAAAAACGAGGAATAACTAAAAGTTCCTAGAATTATCCCGGATTGGTATCAGGGACACTGTCGAAAATGAGACCCTGAGACTCACCTGGTTGTACCTTCACATCACTGACTAAATCAAAGCATTGAACTGGTTTCCCTCCCTCAAAAGTGCTAGTTGACTTAAAGGCTTATTGGAGACTGATTAACCAAGACGATATTGAAACAAAGTTAAACACTTCAGAATTTTCAGAGAACGAAATAACCCTTACATTTACAGACAGGTTGTACTGTCTGTATTTTTATCACGGAGAGTAGAAAGCTTACTGGACGACCAGGTGATATTAAAACAAGCAAACCCTTCTATGATACTGGACATGAATTAAGCGATAAAAAGCCTTTTGTTGCAGACGCTGTGTTTGGATGAGATAGGTGAACACACTGATTCGATCAGGTAGCATATTTGTAAATAATCTCCAAAGTGAACATTATCTGTTTATCGCCATACGCATTTTTATATAGTTCATAGATACTTAGGTGTATTGAGACAAGCTCGTCCAACGTCAAGGATTTCATTGTTATTGTATTAGACTACCGTGACAGAGGTTGAGCTAGTGCAATCAGATATACTGGGATCCTTTATTATTAGAGTAATATTACAGTCACCGTAAATATACGTTTCAGTCGTGATGGTACCCGAACATTACGCTTTCCTCATTAAATTTTAAAAATGCACAATCCTTAACTTTCAGCATTTTTGAATCACCTCTTTTATACGATTCTTTATTCTTTTAACATCATACTTTGTATTGTTTTCTTCAACCTGTGAAAATATACTTACTTAGAACACTTAGTAAAAAAGCATAATTCTAAGTAGTCATATCTTAATTATTCCATGACAAGTGACTAAAATTCACTAATCATGGGAACTGTCTATCCTGCTTCTCTTCTTTTCTTTTTTCCTCTCCTTTTCAGCAACGTCGTGGTATACCA